CTGCTTCCCTTCCGCTCTGTGCTGCCCTCAGCTTTTAACCATTGCTGCTTTCTTCTCCTGTGAAACCCTTTACTGCCTTCCAGCCGTCCTTCCCACTTCCCTCTTTAATTCCTCTGCCCGTTCTATTTCCAGGATGGGTGGGGCGGCTTTGGAAAGGCTCACCTGCATTTCTCAAGGTGGGATGGGTTTCATGTGACCTCTGCCATCCCACACCGCGGCAGTGTCCGACCCCAAATGCTCGGATGGGGTCTGGAGGTGACAACATTTGGGAATGCGATGTGTGGGTCTGTGCTGAGTTGGAAATGCCCCCCATAATCTTAACCTGGTTTTTACGTGCCCCGTCCGAGGGCTGGGTGGGGATGAAGGCGGTAATGGAGGCGGTGATTTTTGGGATGATTGGGGTGGTTATGGATGGGCAGGGTGGTGATGGAGGGAGTGACGGAGGGGGTGGCCCGGCTCTGGCCGCCCCCGCGTGTCCGCAGCGCTCTCTCCGCCTTGGCCGGGCTCCCGCTGCCCTCTCCCGGCCCTTCCCCGCGCTGCAGCCGCCGCCTCCGGCCCTTCCCCGCACCCCGGAGCGGGGCAGCGCACCCCGATCCCCGGCTGCCAGGCTGGAGACGGCGTGGGACGGGCAATCCCGAGCGGGAGCGGAGCGGGGCAGGTCCCGCACCCCGAAAGGCGCCGGGGAGTGTCGCGCCACCCCATCTCCGCGTTTCTGTGACAGTCGGGACTTGTTCTGCTCCAACCCCGGGGCATGGCTGGGGATCCATCTGCGGTCCTTTGGGGACGATTCTCTGCCGGTCACGATGGGGATCCTCCCTCCTTCTCCTCCGTGCACCAGCTGGGGACATGCACAGCACCGGGTACCCGAGACCCCCTGAATCCCAAAATTCCTGGCGCTGTGGGTGACTCGGTGACACCTCGCTGAGCTGTCCAGCCTCGCCCCAAGTCCCCGGTCACGGGAGCAGCAGGAAGCAGAAGCCAAGGGCATCATCCCACATCCAGAAAGGCTCCTGGCACCCCTTCACCTCCTTTCAGACCCTTTTCTTCTCCCATTTCCCTGCTGCTGGGCAAGCTCAACTTGAGAGTTCATTTTCCCATCTTTCCCATCAAAAATTGACAGATGAAACTGAGGAACGGGGTCTGGGCTCTTTGCTGGGGGACAACAGGGAAAATTTGGAGCCACTCAGAAGGGGAAGTGCTGGAACTCGTGCAGCCACACGCGACTGTCCCAAGGAAAACCCAACAGGGAAGCAAAAATCCACAGGGGAATTTTGCCGGTGTTTTTGAAGAACTGGGGTGATTTTCCAGAGCAGCTGTGGAGGAGGAACAACTTCTGCTGAAGTGGCTGGTGAAGCTGCAGGAAAAAAATGTGGTTTTGGAGTCTCGGGGAAGCAAAGCAGAGCTGGGAGCTCTGCTGCCTTTTTCCAATTACCCCGGCTGCTCTAATAAAGATATTGCTTCTCCCCACGGCCCTTCCCCTTCTAATCTCACCCCGTGGAAAGGCATCTCTCAGCAAGGCAGAGAGATAAGTGGTGCAGAGACCTGAGACTTCCCAGCAGCGACCTTGAACGGAGCTGCTCCGCTCGGGAGGGAAGATAAGGCCCAGATGGTTTTAGTGCTGGTTTTAATCCCTTTTTATAGCCTGAAAGTGAAAGTTTGCYGGTGATTGGGAAAACCCTCAGTGAGCTGAAAACCTTTGACACAAGAGGAAAATTGCAAAGTCCTGAGCAGCTGAGCAGGGAAGTGGGGCATCTCTGGGTGGGGAGTGGACCACAACCTGCAGCAGAGGTCAGGGACAGCAGGATTTTGGGGATGGGGACCTGTAAAATGGTCACCAGTGCCTTGATTCCTAAAATATGCACATGGAGCAGAGAAGGAGGGTGAAGAAACTGGAGGAAAGGGACAGAGATAAGGAGAGCAAATCCTCCACCATGGTATTTGCTGGGACATGGTGAGGACAACAGCACTGCCAGTGTGGCCCTGTGAGCCTGGAAGGCCAACSCAGAGCAGAAGTCAGACTGGAGGCTTGTCCTCACTCAGCTTCTTCTGTCTGTCTGCGCTGAGACCCCATCCCACTTGGCTTTGGCTTGGATATGGCTGGAAGGTCAGCAGAGCAGCCAGGACCTGCAGCCTTGTCCCCAGCAGCATTTCACACATGCAGAACTAGCCTGTGTCCTGCCCCCAGCCCTTTTTGTGGGGGTTGTGTTRTCCACCTCATCCCCCAACCTCTGCCTATTGCCTCCCAGATGCTCTCAGAACCCCAATTCTTTGAATGTGATCAATCAAATGTGATCCAAAATGTGATCCAAAATTCAACTTTCAGCACTGAATTCCTGGGTTTCCCACCCAAGAGCACATCCCAGTGCACATCCCCTGCACCTCCAATCCGTGCCCCCATCTCTGCCCCATTCCCGGCGCTYGGAGCTGTCACCCGCGGGTTTTGGGCCGAGCCGGGAGCTCCCAGCCCCGGAGCCGAGCTCCGGAGCGCTTTTCCAGCTCCTCCCTCCCGTCGGCGGCCGCGGGGATGGGCGGTGGCGGTGGCGGAGGCGGGCGGGAGCAGCGCTCCGCCCGCGGGGCCGGGCCGGGCCGGGGCGGTGGGAGCCGGGGACAAAGGTGACCGTGCTTTGGGAGCGGGGCCCCAAAGCCCCCTCACACCATCCGACCCCGSATCCAGCGCTCCCACGGCCACCACGGCCAGGAGAGTGTCCTTGATGCCGGTGAYCGCCGGAGACCGGAGGTAGAGTCCAGGTGGGTGGAAAGCCTGGCACGGCGAGGCCACCGGCGATTAGGGGGCGAGAGGAGCGGTGGCTTTGCCCGGGTGGACAGGGGTCACGGCCATGGCTATCCGAAGGGACAGCCGGATCCGCGGCGCCGGCCAAAACCCTCCCTGCGCGCCGCGGGGAGGAGCGGCGCGACACGGAAAACACGGCGGGAAGGTCACCTGCGCCAGGTGACGTGGGACACCGGGACAAGCCCCGCCTGGGGCTCCTCCATGGGAAAACTCTCTGTTGGGATGGGGGGTGGGGGGAATCTCGTCCCCAGTGAGCCCGGGGGGAGCCCCAACCCACCCRGCATCGGCCGGACTCAGCACCTGGTCTGGGAGAGGGCTCATCCCGGCTATCCCGGGTTTGTTTATTCGCCAGCTCCATTTCCTGGGCGCCAGGGCCGCTGCCAGCGAGAACAAAAAGGGGATGGTTCATTTCCATGCAATTAAGGCGCAGCGCTGAGCACCCTCTGTCCCCKCAGGGCGCGGAGCCATGAAGCTGAACGAGCGGAGCTTGGCTTTCTACGCCACCTGCGACTCCCCGGCCGACAACGCCGGCTTCCTCTACAAGCGGGGCGAGCGGCACACGGCCTACCATCGCCGCTGGTTCGTGCTCAARGGCAACATGCTCTTCTACTTCGAGGAGAGGGAGAGCCGGGAGCCCGTGGGCGTCATCGTGCTGGAGGGCTGCAACGTGGAGCTCTGCGACTCGGCCGAGGGTTTTGCCTTCGCCATTCGCTTCGGTGGTGCCAAATCCCGCACCTACGTGCTGGCGGCCGAGAGCCAGGCGGCCATGGAGTCGTGGGTGAAGTCGCTGTCCCGAGCCAGCTTTGACTACATGCGGCTGGTGGTGCGGGAGCTGGAGAAGCAGCTGCAGGAGATGCGCTGGGGGCTGGCCGGGGGATGCGGGGGCTCCCGGGAGCCTCCCGGCCACTGCAAGCCGAAGCCGTCGGGGCCGGAGCAGTCCCAGGAGCGGCTGCCGGCTCTGCCCGCCATCCYGCCCAAGGAGAACGGCTGCGCCGTGTGGAACAACGCGGCGGGAGCGGAGCGGCCGCCCGACACCTCTGGCTGCGGYGGGCACGACGAGGACGGGCACCCACGGCCACCACCGCTGCCCCCGCGCAGGCGAGTGTCCGGCRGCGAGGCCGGGGCGGCCGTGGCGGAGAGCCCGTCCACCTTCTGCCGGCTCCACGAGCAGTACAGCCGCGAGGTGGCCCGGCTGAGGCGGGACTGGCAGCAGAGGCAGCGTGGCCCCCGGCTCTGAGCCGTGGCCGAGGCCTGGGGACCTGCCAGGARCCGGGGTGGGACAGAGGTGGTCATTTTTGGCACTGGCCTGGTCCCCTCGTCATGCTGGAACGTGCAGAGCTGGCCGTGGTGGTGATGGACACCACYCAASGAGGGCTCAGCACAAAGGGCCACCRGTGCTGCTCTGTGATGGTGAAATGGGCACCTCTGGGGTGCCASCCTCCAGCCGTGGCCCCACGTGGGTTTGGGGTGCTCCACTCAGCACAAACAAACCATAAACTGTTCACCGACTGAGGCCTCCTGAGAATCACCTCTGCTCCGGCTCTGCTGGGGCCTCTCGGTGCTCTTGCAGCGGGATCATGCACTGACAGCTTTTGGAGGAGGATTTGGATGGGATCTCGCCCTCCTGAGTGCCTGTGTGGGTGTTCCACAGCTGGAGGCACTGCTACCGACTTCCCCTCCCGGCCTGGCGCAAGGCTGAGGTCGGCTGAGCTCTGCCAGATCCCTCTGCTCCAGCAGGATGTGGTTTGAAATGAAAATATCAGTGAGCGCAGCCCTTCCTTAACGGCAGCAGCAGCTCCGCACACTCCGGGGAGCTGCTGACACCCAGCCCCGGCTGTACCGAGGGAGCAATTGCGGCTTGCAAGCCTGGATGGCAAATTTGGGGGGGTCAGACCCGGGGGGAATGCAGCAGGAGGATATTTTGGGATGGCACATCATCCCCGTGCCAGCTCACCAAGGGGAAGCATCGCTCATGGTGGTGAATGGGAGCGTGTGTGTCAGCGGTGGAGTGTGAGGAGTGATTCATGTGCCAACCAGAGCAAAGCTGGTGTGTCACACTGCTGTTCCTCTCTTATTTCCCCAAAAAACACTCGAGCTGCTGGCTCAGAGGTGGGGTGACCCAGCCCGGAGCAGGGGGAGCAGTCAGAGTGCCCTGGCTTAGGGATGGGTGCCTCCATCTCCCTTTGCTCTCTTGGAGCAGACACGAGATTTTTTTACAATAAAAGTTGTTTCAGAACTTCCCTCCCATCCATGGTCCTCGTTTGTGCCTTTGAGCCCCATGGGAGGGGAGTCCAGGTGGGAATTACTACTTTAATTAATCCTCCTCCTGTCCCCTCCATGTCTGTAGGGCTGGTCGGGCATTGTGTCACCTGAGGGGGACATGGCCAGTGCCAGGGTGGTCCCACGGCAGGGACGGATTTTAACCAGGATGAAATATCTGTCCCCTTGCAGGGTCCCTATTGGTTCTACAGGGACCCGGTCCTTGTGGTGGTGGCCAGCATGTCCCCATGTCCCTGCCTGTGACGTCCCACCTGCGTGAACATCTCCAGCTCCTCTTCAACATGGCTTCTTTGGGGATTCACTCCTTGGGGAAACCAAGGCCAACCAGGGTCACCCCCTCGCCGAAATCTCTGCAGAATGTGGATCCTGCTCCYGGCCAGGCACGGCACCCCGCTATGGAATTTGGGATTTGGAGCAGTGCCAGGGGCAGCCGGGGTGCAGCTGCACCCGGAGCACCCAGATGGTTCTGTGGCTCTGTCCTTCGCTGCAGGGGAAGATTCCCTTTTCCATGGCAGCTGGCCCGGCTTCTCCAGACGTTCGGATATCCATTAAAAATGAGTCCTTCCCAACGTGYGAGCTGACAAACAAGCTTAAACAGATAGGCAACATATGGATTTATTAATTTGTCAGACACAAACAGCCCTGCCTCATGTCAGAAGCTGCCGACTCGCCCAGCGACGGTCGGCTCCGAGCAAGAGCCGCGCTGGGGAGCAGTGCCATTGTATGGACAGGGCTTGGGGCAGCCTGRGCTGGTGGAAGGTATCCCTGCCCATCGCAGGGGGTTGGAATGAGGCGATCTTTGAGGTCTTTTCTAACCCAAATCACTCCATGAAACGATTTCATGATCAGCCGAGACCAAACTCGTGCTGGACGATGCTGAGCTACCCCAGGGGCAGGAGCAAACCTGCAGCAGGGATGAGCRCAGGAATTTCGTGGGGCAGGATCACACCCTGAGCTGGACTAACCCCATTTAACACCTCTTTTTCATCCCCCAATCACTGGAATAACGAGAGCTTTTGCCACAACCCCCAAACAAAGCTGTGACTTCCGAGGGTGCCAACAGCAGGCACCGGGCGAGTGCGAGMAGAAAAAACACACCCCGAGGCCAGAGTCGTATCCAACTTCTGTATTTAGTGGCTCTTTACAGAACTTGTTCCTTCCAAAACTGTTAAACAAAGTTCAKCGATCTCATAGAAACTTTTGAAGTACAGAACATGAGCCTAAACAAAAACGTGACCGGTGTGTCCCGCTGGCTTTTCACACAACAGGGYTGCCGTGCTCAGGACTATCCTCAGCGCTTCCTCAATTCCCGTTCCGCTAAAGCTCCCTCTAGCACACAGCAGAGAAGGCAGGCGGTGGCCACACCTCCCCCTTTCATAGCCCAGTGGCCGGGAAAGAGCAGCCAGAGGCAACCTGGGGCTCGCCAGGGCACGGGAGGCGGGCGAGGGGAGCGGTGCCCTCGCCCAGCATTGCTCATCCATTACCACCCGAGTATAAAAATACCTTCGAATCTGATAAAAACGTCTGCAGTGGAAAATCRGTCAATGCACAGCCCGGGAGCCTGGCAGGGAGCGCTCCCGGGCCGGGTGGGCGATGGCTGATGCCGTGGGGACAGGGGACACGGGACACAGGCCGGCTGGAGGCGGGGAGGTGACAGGGAGCACGCTTGGATGATGCCACCACTGTCACTCGGCACAGGGTCAGAGCTGGACAGCCAAAGCTCGGTGGTGCCGTGTCCAACTCGGGGCTGAGGTTGCCCAGTTGGGGCAGGAGCCTGATGTGACACCCAGGGCTCATCCTGGTGTCACCGAYAGCCACCGCTCGGGGACACGGCTGCAGGAAGGGGCTGCTCCTCCTGCCAGGGCGCTCTCCCTAAAAAAGTGCTCCAGCCCCCAGGAGCAGCCCTGAGCAGGCTCAGCCTGTGAGTGTGTGCCTCATGATTTTTGGGCGCTTGCCTTAATCTCTGCTGCCCCAGGGGCAAAGCTTGAACGCTCCATAATTTTCCTTCCCGAATGCACAAGGGACCAGAATACCACAGATGTCCATCCCCGAGCATCACACCCAGGCACATCTTCCCATCCCACTCCCAAAATCCCAAAATCCCAAACTCAGGTTGCTTTCTTTGCTTCTGCCTCAGTTTCTCTCTTCCTTCGGGGGCTGGCAGGAGCCGCGCCGTGCCGGACAGGAGTGCCCCGGCCGGAGGAAGCGCGAGGGACGGCGTTGGGACCATGCTACATCTTGTTCCAGAAGGCTATTGCAGACATTTCTACAACATACACAACCGCACGGGACATTCTGTGTTACAAAGGCTTCCAAAAACATAAACCACCAGAACTAAATACATACTCGATGGCGTCGGGGGGTCGCTTTAGAGTCTTCAGGGACTAGGACGCAGTCTCTGGCTGGGGCAGAAGCGATGCAGTGTCTTACAGACAGGGGTGGAAACTGCAAAAGTTTCTTAAATTTGGTCAGTCTCATAGTGCTTCTTGATGGCTTTGCTCAAAAAGTCTTTTCTGTGGGCTGGGTTTTTTTTTTTATCCTTTGTTTATTTGATTTTAATCTCATCCAGTGGCAAACTACAAGACTTCAGTGTACATTTAATGACACGACTGCTACATCATCTTGATTTTATAGCTATCTTTAATATCAAAGCAGCTTAAGCTGTTAATAAATTCCAAAGTATCCTTTTATTAAAATATCTAAAAGAGGTCTATAAATATTTTTTGTTTCTTTTTTTTTTTTTTTTTTTTTTTTTCTTTTCTAAAATTGTTCCCAGTTTTTCACATTTAAAACAAAGCCGGAGGAGAGAGGGGGGGGGTTCCCCCTTTTCCACGGGCGCTCCCCTTCCGTGGTGCCGGCCGCTCGTCACCTCTCGGTGCACACTGCATTTATCAAAATATATATATATATATATATGTGTGAGGGGTGTATATATATATTTAGGGCAGCGGGGAGGGGCTCAGAACTCCCACTCRAGGGCCTCGTCGCGGTTGGCAGCCCGCTCCAGGCGGTGGATGATGTTGTTGAGGTTGGCCATCTTCTCGTGGCGCCGCTGGACGCTGGTGCAGAGCCGGGGGCCGGGAGCCGGGGGAAGCGCCGGCGACACCGGCCCGGCGGAGGAAGGACCCGGCGAGGCCGAGCCGGTGAGGCCRGGCGAGGAAGCGGCCGAGGGCGATGTCGGGGACACCTCTAAGCTGCAGCGGGACGAYCCCGCCGAGGACTGGGAGCTGTCGGGGTGCGGCGGTGGCGGCGGTCCCCCGGTGGTGGCACCGGCGCGTCCTCCCCGCCGCGGGAGGCTGCCGGCGCTGGGGGCGGCGGCGTGGGGAGCTGCCCCCCGCTCGTCCTGGGGTGCTCCGGTCCCTTCGGCCGCTCCGGCCGGGCTGCGTGAGTCCCGCCGGCGGCTCCAGCCGCCYGCATCGCCGTGCTCCTCCTTCACCTTCACGGGCGCGGCGGCGCAGGGGGGCTCGCCCCCCACCAACACGGGTTTGCGATCCTCGCTGTCCGAGTCGGGGCTGAGCGAGGTCCGGCGCCCGGGAACGGCCGTCCCGCCGCTCTGCTCCGGGTCCGTGTCGTTGTCCTGAGCGCCCTCCACCAGCATCTCCCGGCGCATCCGTGACCTGCGGGACACAACCAYGGAGAGGTGGCAGCAGTGACCACGCACTGCCCCGCACGGCCACTGCATGGCTCTGGCCAGAAAAATGGGACCAGTGTCCACTACAACACCACCTGAGGATGAAASCTGTGCTGCTCCCCAGGGCTGGRCTGCTRCRGGGATGGATCYAGCAGCCTCCATAAGGCTTTCCCTGCCCCATCCTGCTCTGGGGTRAGCAGGGGGATGTGAGCATGGAAACTTTTTTAGATGCTCAACACAACTTGGTCAAGGCAGTCAGCACTGCCCAGCAGCCTGGGGTGCACCTGGGGGGCTCCGGTGGGTCTGCACCAGGGCAGAGGGAGCAGAAAGGCTGGAAAAGGAACAGCAACACCCCCTCCGTGGCCCAGCACCCTCAGTGAGGGTGCACCCGTACCTGTAGTTGTGGAACCAGTTGATGACGGTGTTGGTYTTGAGGTTGAGCTGGAAGGACAGCAGCTCGATGGTCTGCTGGGAGGGGTAGGGCTCCAGCTGGTAGGCTTTTTTCAGGGCTTCCTTCTCCTCCGGCGCCAGCACCACCCGTGGTTTCTTGATCTGGAGGAGGCTGAGCTCCTGCGGCGGCGCGCCGGGGCTGGCGCACTCGGAGCGGGCGCTCGGGGACTCGCTGTCCGAGCCGGCGCTCATCAGCCCGTAGCGGCGCTTCAGGTAGGCTGTGACAGAGGACACCCAGCTGGCGCCACTYGCCCCCCAGCCTGGGACCCCCCCTTGGGCAGCACCCCACACCCGGCACGGCAGCCTCGCCCCGCGCCTCACCTTTCTTCTCCAGCTTCTTCATGTCGCGCAGCTTCTCCACGTTGTGGGGGTCGTTGAGCCAGAGCTGCATGCGGACGAAGGGCTCCCTCCCCTTCAGGCTCAGCTTGTGCCACGGCTTGGGCCTGGAGAGGAGATCGGACACCGAGCCCTGCGTCAGGCCCAGGATGCTCTCCCCGAACAGCCGCTGGCCTGGCGGAGGAGAAGCAGAGGTGGTTAGAGGGGGTAGAGTGGCGGGACGGGCACTGCAGTCCCCATTTCCCAACAGGAATTCTCCCAAAATTCCCTCGAGCACCCACRGAAAAACATCTGGGGTGGGGGGATCACATTGACAGCAATCGGGGTGCTGGATCCAGCAGCAGCTCCCGAAAATCCGGGTGCAGAGAGGGAATTTTGGGAGCAGCTCCCGAAAATCCGCACCTAAATTGTTGTCCGTCAAGACCTCCTTGACCTTCTTGGTGATGGAGTAGGTGTCCAGCTCRGGGGACATGGCCACGATCTCCTGGATGCCCACGGGTCCCTGGCTGTTGGGATACGTCTTCCCRCCCAGCACAGGCGCC